ATTTTTTGATAGAATATTCAGTCCTTTTGCAGTCTTTTCATTGAACATGAACTGACCTCATGCTGTAACATACGTAAAAATGTATATATTGACAAGACCATGTATTTAAATTCTTTTTTCTAAAACTTTCATTTCCTTTTTTTGTGGTTTAGCAGATAAGTCATCCCTTTATATAAGGTTTACACAGTTCTCTTTAACTGGGATTGCTGACTGGAAACAGAAACAATTGTTATTTTGAAAAACAGCAGAAGTGGTACTTTGTCTCTAAGTGCAGTTGCTGAGCTATGAAAAGAACTTTTTGGTCCTGACGACCATGGAATTAAGAACAAAAATGTTCTAACAGGCAACTTATCCTATAATAACATTTATGACGTTAACTGACCCAGCAACAAGGTTCATTTATTGAACCTTTATTTGTGGCAGGGGGGACACAGAAGAGCCCTAGGTAAGCCTTGTGCAGGCAAGAACCAGTTTGTCTTGGTCATGGTAGTATCCCTAGCACCTAGAACATAGTAGAGAATTAATAAAAACGAACTGAATGAATGTTGTTTATTTTTTAAAGTCTGTTCTGATTCAATACCTGTGCCCTTTCTCCCATGACAAACTTTACGTACAGACTGGTTACTTTCCAGACTCCCAGCCTGACCTGGTTTCCTGGGTTACAGTCACATCCTTTCCTTGGTAAGGAGAGGAGGCGGGAAAAGTGGTCAGCAGTATCTTGGTAGGGCAGACACCCACTGCTGGCATCAAAGCCCCTTCTGAGGCAGCCACCAGAAACATTTTACCTTGACTTCTGTCTTTTTAATCTGGATCCCCACCTCCAAACTCTGGAATTATTCCAGGCCAGGCTAGAGATCAGATATAGATAACCTGCCGGCCTGTAAATAGAGGAGCCAAAACAAAGCAAAGCCTGTGCCAATAATCCTTACAAGTGCTGGTTGTGTTCACCCCTATGTGAAGCCCCCTCTCCTTTCTGGAGGAAGTATAATCTAAATGTGGCTGAAAATATAAGAAATCTCTGTACCTGTGGTAGGTGAAGAAAGATCCTCAATTATAAACCAAAATACAAGGTATTAACAAGAGAGATTTAACACCTACTATCACACTTGGAGTGTGATTAAGATATACCAAGGAATGCATTTTCTCCCGTGGCTGCCTGGGTTGGCTGTTGGTGCAGAATATTTGAAACCTCAAGTTCTCAAACGATGAATGAGGAGAGTTTCCTGTATTATGAATGATGTCATCTTGAAATGAGGGACTTTTAGTGAGATGCAGGAACATTCAGGGTAATGTGTTTGCAGCAAGCATGATCTTGAATTTATTGCAGAGGGGAGCATGTGTGTTGACCAAAACAGAATGGTGAGAAGTAACTAAATTATGTATGAGTCTTTACAGAACAAAGAAAGGGAGAAAACTTAATGATGTTGTGGTTGAAGGACCAGCAGCAATTGGTGATGTATTGGCGTAGGTGGGTAAGAAGAGAAATGAATCTGTGAAGACCCAAAGACTACAGATGGTGTGACAAAGACGGAGCTGTGGATTGGGGGCTGGGGGGGGGGATATAATAAATTTTAGTGCATCAAGACAGCCAAATAAAATTAACTTGACATTAAAAATCATCATCTTAATCTATGTAGCTCTTTCAAGCCTGAGTCTTATCAGAGATAAAAAAAACTATAGCTAACAATGAAATATTTTTTCCCCTTTGCTTTCCCAGCATCCACTAAGAACAGCACATAATTTAATTATTGAATCTACAGGCTGGACCATGGAGATGAAGAATGATGTGTCTGCTGTAGTGAGAAATTAGATAGAACCAACTGTTTATTCTCATCATTCTTCCTCGGTTAGGCTAAATTAATACAGTTAACAAGCTTTTGTTTGGATTACCAGCCCAGATCCGGGATGTGCAGATCAGAACTCATGATTATTACAGTAGCTATTATTTATGGAGTGTTGACAGTATCCTCAAGCCCCTGTGTAAAACGGGTTCTTTTGTCATTCTCCGTGCAGGAAACAGTGCTCCACCACACCAGGCTTAAGGACCAGACAGCTGAACAGAGTATCGAAGTCCAAGAAAATCAGATTTGCTTTACTGGAGTATGTGACCTCAGAAATGGCACTGATGGTCTTTTCTATTGCCCTGTGCCCTTTCTGATCTCTTTAACAATTGTAACAAAACATGCACAATTTTATAGTTGGCAACTGTTATCAGTGGTAGTTCCAAGAGGGATATGAGCTCGGTGAGGTGGTAGGCAAGTTGGAGAATACCTCAGACCCTTCCACTCAATTTGAATAGAAACTGAGAAAGCCTTTCAAGCGCCCCCGCCCAACCCAATCTGCGGCCCCAAAACAAGCCCTTCAAGTATGAAATTGTGAAGCCGCCACCGATCATGATTCCTCACAAGGACACAGCAACACAGCAGGCTCATTCCAGACACCAAAACCAGGTCTCATTTCCAGCCCCTTCCAGTTTCACTGCACTAGACTCTTCCGGGTCATCTTCGAGTCACATATAATATATATTTACAGCAACAGCTTTAAGTTGTTGACGGTAGGCACAGGTGCAGGAGGAAAAAAATCTCACCACTACTAACAAAAACGACCCATCCCTTACACTCAGATATCTTTAAAATGCAGTTGTTTTTTTTTTTTAAATGAAGTCAGAGCACTGGGAGCGGGCAGTCCATCCTTCGCCCAACGAGGGTGGCACGAAGCACAGCGAACGCGGGCAACCAGCCCGGGACGCCAAGAGACCCCGGGCGGCAGGGCGGTAGGGCGGCAGGGCGGCCGCGCGGGCCCAGCTCTAGCAGCCTCGGGGCGGATTCGCAGGCGGCCGGGCTCGGCACCGCCCCATTGCGGCGGAAAGCAGCTACCCACAACGACCGACATACACCACCCGGGAGGAGTTAGTACTTTGTGCTCCGTAAGGGCAGGGACGCAGGGGCTCAGGCCCTCACACTTGCAGCGCAAGCCAAGTAGCTCACCGGGAGGAACGCTCGCAGGGCGCAAACCACCCCTCTCCCGCCAGCAGGGCGCGCTCCTTCTTAGAGCGCGGCCGGAGCGCCCACCTTCCGGCGCCGGACGGGCCCGCCTCCTCTCCCGACTTCCTTCTTCTGCGCGCGGGCTCGCGGCGGTGGAGCGGTGGAACGGCGGGAAGAGTGGCCTGCAGGCTCGCGGACCGGAACCGGAGCACAGGCAGGGCCAGCCGAGCGGGTATGCTGCCTGCGCCCCTCGCTCCCGCCGCGCCGCTCGCCATGTGCGCCGCCCGGAGCGCTGGGCGGCGGGCTAGCCGCGCAGGGCTTGGGGGCCAGGTCTCAAGAGTGATAAACCCTGACTTTGCGCCCCCTCCGCGGTAGTCAAGTGAGCAAACGAGCGCGGGAACGGGAGCGGGAGCTCGGTTTGTCGCGGTCGCGCCCGGGTTAACTTCACGGCGCGCACCGCGACTTTTACAGCTTTTCCGCTCTGGAGGGTGAGGTGGGTGGTTCTGGGGAGCGTTTGATAAGAAATCACTCCCTGCGTTCACGTGGAGAATGGGAGTGCGTTAGAGTTCAGGGTGTTGGGAGGAGTATGGGTTCTGCCCAGACCGGCGACTAGATCTAGCTCCCTGGACCAGTTGTACCTGAGTTTCAGTTTCCCACTTCTGTTTCTGCAGCTGGATTTCAGTCCTTACAGGGCTTCAGTGAGCATTAAACAGAGATAGGTAAAGCACCCAGTGAATGACTGTCCCTTGTGAATATGTTGCTTTCCTTCTCCGCCCCCCCCCCTTTTCCCCAGTAATTCTTTTCACTAAAAAACCCAGACCCGTTGCCGTCGAGTGGATTCCAACTCATAGTGACCCTATAGGACGTAGGAGAACTGCCCTATATGGTTTCTAAGGACTGGCTGGTGGATTCGAACTGCCGAGTTTTTGGTTAGCAGCCTGAGCTCAACCGCTGTATTCAGTAGATACTTATTTGGTCCCTTACAGAGATTAGTGGATGCTGACCCTTAAGGCAGATGGGAGACCAGTCCAATCCTGCATGCCTCACGGAAAGAAGGCTGTCAGGCGTCTCAGAACTTGGGCAACATAATCAACGGGTAAAGGAGACCTGGTGGCACAGCCGGTCAGCAGTTGGTACTCACCAGCCACTCCTAGGGAGAAAGATGTGGCAGTCTGCTTCCTAAAGATTACAGCCTTGGAAACCCCATGGGGCAGTTCTACTCTGTCCTGTAGGGTCCCTATGAGCCCAAATCTGCTGCAGGGGGCAACGTATTATTTATTGTTGTTGAATCATGGGTAGCCATGGTTCCCTGTACCCACAAGTTCACTGCACCCTTGTCTTAGGCAGGGCTGCACTTTACAGTAGTATATGCTTGAAGTCTAGAGCTTGAAGCAGAAGTTTTGGAAGAATCTCACCCTCCTTTAGACCTTCTCAAGATTTCTTCTCAGTGATACTTGTCTGGTTCCTCTGTTGCCCTCCCTCTTTGCCCTTGTTTTATCTCTTTTGAAAGGGTCCCCTTGCCTGAAATTCTAGGCCCCCTTCATGGGCTCTCCCTCTTGGAGAGACAGCTTGTGCCTGCAGTGAGAAAAGCTCTTGTTACTGAAACCTTGCCTTGGTAATAACACCTGACGCTTCATAGTGCCTTTGCAGTTGCTTCAGGACTCAGGGCTGCTTACTGCTGTCCCATCTGGGGAAGCTAAGGGGAAAGGAAAGGAACAAATTATCTGGTTAATCTCAGAATTGGGACAGCCAGACATGTTTTCTTTGGAATCCAACTGACAAGCGTAATAATCCGGTGTGATTTAGGCAAGTTATCTAAATTCTCTGAGCCTCTGTTCTCAACTCTAGCTAGTTTTAAGGGTTGAGTGAAATGATGCATATAACTTTTAAGAGTGTTTGGCATATATTAGATGATCAATAAGTGTTTCTCTTTCCCGCCTCCCTATTGTGCCTGCTCCATTACATAAGGGAGTGAGGTGAAGGTCAGGCATTTGTACTAATTTACAAAGCATCCTATGAGAAAGCAGTAAATAGATATGGGAACGTGAAACAATACGTGCCAAACCCAGATTGCTGAAGGAGCAGCTTAATTTCTTAGGCTTTTGTTTTTTTTTAACCAGAGGCTAAGGTAGCTCTGGGGTCCATGTTCTGTGATTTATAATTGATAAATATAGCTGAAGTTTCTGAGTTTAGAGATTCAGAATTTAGGTGTGGTTGAATTGAAACACAGATTTATCAAAATGTGTTTCTCAACTGCAGTTTTGTTGTGTTTTTCTTCTAGACCCAGCATGAATGACGTTTTATGCAAAAAACGGGACGACTATTTGGAATGGCCTGAGTATTTCATGGCGGTGGCCTTCTTATCAGCACAGAGAAGCAAAGATCCAAATTCCCAAGTAAGTGAGTTTTATAGGAGAATATTTGGACACTCAGGACAGAAACGCCGGTAAATGAGCGGCTTACAAAGAAGGTAGATTCAGTGGACATCTGTCCATTTAAAAATGCTGAGTAAATCTGGGTTTTGTGGTGCATTCCTACATGCTTACGTTTTCCTTTGAGGGAGTAGATTGTCCCACGCCACTGTTAAATGCCTCATGTGCCCCCTCCAGGGCAGGATGCCACGGAAAATGGGCAAGGGGACAGAGCACTGAGAGCACCTCCAGAGGATGTGTGTCCGTTTTGGAGCTCTGCAGTCCACCTGGTGTCATTCCCTCTCCCCAGTGGCAGAGGAGCACTGGGAGTCAGCAAACCTTTGGGCATGTGTTTCTGTAGGTTGGGGCATGCATCGTGAACACAGAAAACAAGATCGTCGGCATCGGGTACAATGGAATGCCTAACGGGTGCAGTGATGACCTGTTGCCTTGGCGGAGGACAGCAGAGAACAAGCTGGATACCAAGTACCCTTATGGTAGGGCATGTTTTGTGTTCCGTTCTGTTAGTGGCATAGTGTGGGTGTGTGCTTAACTAAGAAACCAAAACTAGTTGCCATTGAGTTGATTCTGATTCAAGGCACCCCCAATTGTGTCAGTAGAATTGTGCTCCATAGGCTTTTCATTGACTGATTTTTCATAAGTAGATCTCTAGGCCTTCTTCTGAGGCACCTCTGGGTAGACTTAGAACCTCCAACCTTTTGGTTGGCAGTTGAGCATGTTAACCATTTGCATCACTCAAACCAGTAAAAAAAAATTTAACCAGTTACCATCGCGTCAGTTCTGACTCATGGTAACCCTATGTGTGTCAGGGTAGAAGAGTGCTCCACAGGGTTTTCGGTGGCTGATTTTTTGGAAGTAGATCACCAACACTTTCTTCCAAGAAGTCTCTGGGTAGACTCGAACTGCTAACCTTTTGGTTAGCAGTCGAGTGTGTTAACCGTTTATACTACCCAGGGATTCCTTAAATAAGAAAATTGGTCAGAAATCCTCATGTTCCTTTTTAGTCATCAACAGCTGGAAAGAAAAAAAGTGCTATTGAACTACCCCAGTGTCCTGTCCCCATGCCTTAAGTTCCAAAGAGAGCTAACAGAGGGAAGCGTGATAATGGCCACACAGCTGGGCCCTGAGGTCCAGGCTTATCGCCAGTCTGGGATTTGGCGTGTTTCACTGGTGGCCTGTCAGGCTGTACAACGCCAGAGCATTGCTGGAGAGCTTCTCTGTAGAGGGTGTTATGAGTTAAATTGTGTCCCCCAAAAATATATGTTGTAAATCCTAACCCCTGTACTTATAGAGAGGAGCACTGGTGGCACAGTGGTTAAAGCACTTGAATGCTAACTAAAAGATAGGCAGTTCGAACCCACCAGCCACTCCTCAGGAGAAAGTTGCAACAGGCTGCTTCTGTATTGATTACAGCTTTGAAAACCCTATGGGGCAGTTTACCAATTCTGTCACCAACTGTCCCTTCTACTGCATTCTCTACTTCTCTGCTGGCTTCCATAATTCATTGCAATGGCCACACAGAACTCACAGACAATAGTCATGATTACGGGGCTATTAGGGAAGTAACACTTATAATTCAGGCTCAGAAAACACTCAGGATATAGTTCTTCCATCAGGGCAGCCTCTTCCCAACCATGCTCGCAAGCATGTCTCTCCCTGGCCCTAGATCTCTCCCCAGAGCCACTCAGCTTTCTCTCTCCATGGGCCAGGAAGCCCACCGTGCTGTTTCCTGCTGCTGAATCTCTCCTGCCATCGCTTCTCACCATCTTCAGGGTTACAGCTTGCTCTGTCTCTCTCCCAGTCTCCTGCTTCCAGGAGCTTCTCAGCACAGGGATCCCAGGTCCAGAGGACACGCTCTCTGCTTCTGGCTGTTTTTCCTTCGGTGGTAGGATCCCCCTCTCAGCTCTGGAATTGGCTCTCTTTCAAGGCAAAACTGACCAGTCCCCTTGGTAGGCCACAATTACCCTATCACAGTCCAGGCCAATCACCTAGGTGGGAGTTACGGGACCATGGCTAGAAAGGTCACAAAAGTAATCAATCGCACCATACCAGGGACTCCTACTAATACCATAAGGGGCAAATGGGGCTGCGTGTCCTCGTTGCTGATTTTTCATAATGTTAGGTGCTGTATTTATGTCTGAAAATCAGCAGCCTGGCTCTGTGGGAAGTAAAGCAGATTAAGGCCATCCAAATGCAAGAGATTCTGCCTCCAGGAAACCAAGTTTAAGGCATAATGTAAGACCTTTTCTTCTTTGCTGACGCTTCCCTAGTAGTTTTCCTCTGGATTTTTCTTATGAAGAACTCTTAAGCCTTCATTTAGTCTAATGTATATATTTTTACTAATGTTCCTGGATCTTAATAATGTTAAATAGGCCCCGTAAATTACTTTTTAAACTGCTTAAGGGCAACCCCTCTGTTTTCGAAAGAAAAAGAAAAAAGGCGCCTGGAGGTAGAGAAGGAATTGAGGGATGAGGGTAGGGAGAACTGCAAAGCACTCAGGGTTTTCAGGGTATAAAAAATTGGTTAGTGAATAAGGGGGTGTAATACAGTAAGACCCTGGGTTACAAAGGTCCAACTAGGGAAAACTTGCGCTTGCCCTTTAATATTATGTAAATTTGCCCTCACTTTGAAACGATTGAGTGAACCGCTACTCCCAACAAATTCCTCGTCACAGTTACCTTCACTTGCTACACGTGCAGTTTTTGAATCACTGAAAAGACTTTGAGCCTTTTCTTGCAGTAAAGCGAAAATCAAACCCGTTGCCCTTGGATTGATTTCTACTCATAGGGACCCTATAGAACAGAGTAGAACTGTCCCATAGGGTTTCCAAGGAGCGGCTGGTGGATTCAAACTGCCAAACCTGGGGACTTCCTGTAGTTGTTTTTAGGTACATGCAAAGATCATTTTTCAGAGCACAGTCTAATATCTTGTATAAAAATCCTAAAAGATCTACACTGAAATGTATGACAACCACAGTCCTTATCACTGAGTCAAGACAGTGAAATGTTGGACCTTGTGTGGAACTCCTATATGAGGAATTTGTAGGGGTGCGGAGGTGTCAGGCTGTCGTATTGAGACTGGTCGCAAAAGATGCCAGTGGTTGGACCAGTGTAAAGGGGGCTCATTGGCAACTGAGTGGGTTTCCCAGTGGACCCTGTGCCGCCTTCAATCACCGGGAGCCCTGGGCAGGTCTGTAGCAGTGGCCTGGAAGCCGAAGGCTTGGCAGCACATTTTCAATCTGCCGACCACCCAGTGCTCTGGACGGAACCTCTAACATAGCTGATTTTGTTGTTCTGAGACACTGCCCTTTGTTCAAGTTGGGGAGAGTACCTTTAAGAGCTCCTTTCCAGAAGGAATGAAAACAAACAGACAAACAAAAAACAGGCATTTGTCCAGTTTCACTGATTGCTTTTTATTGAATTGTTGCTGAGTTTCTGGGCACTGGTTGTCTGCATTATTTTTTAGTATCCATTTGCTACCTCTAGATTTTCAAAGCTCTTTGCCCTTGCTTATCAATTATTTATTTTACATATAGCCATGTTAGGATGTAGACAATTTTCTTTCACGAGAGTAGGCTTGTAATTTGATGTGCCATAAAAGTCATAGGAGGTATTAAATGGTTTTTAAAAGGCATTTAGTGTTATGGCCATCATAATACATGTAAAGATGGGCTTTAAGTCTAAATACCGATGACTGTGTGTAAGCTGTGCCTTCAGTCTTGCCTTTTGACGGGATTTCGGGCGACAGAGAAGTTGGCGTAACACTGGAAGAAATAGAAATCTTTGGTGAGAATTGACTAAAAGGCAAATTCTTTTTTTCACTTCCGTTTTAAGGTTTCAAAAATTAATTTAAAAAAAAGGTGATAATGTCTGGAATTGGGTAGACTCAGCCCTTTCCTCATTGACATTAATGGTGACTGAGTTGCTCTATCAGGAAGAGTAGATTCATAGATTATTTGTTAATCTCTGTAAATGAGCTTTAAAATTATTTAGAGTTCTAGACCAGTGATTCTTAACTATTGACTATGGTTTCCCCCCAGTTAAACGTCAGAAACAATTTCCAGGACCCCTACATAATGCTACTTAAACTTTTGATATCTCTTGAGTAAGAAGATCCATGGTGATGAAAAGCTACTAGTATCAGTAACATTTACATCAGTCTGTACTTTATTGATGAGACAGCATTTACATGTGTTTGGAAGGAGTGTGTATATGTGCTACCGCTACCACCACCACCACCACCAGTTGCCATCAAGTTGATTCCGACTCATGGCAGTCCATGTGTGTCAGAGTAGAGCTATGCTCTGTAGGGTTTTCATTGGCTGAGTTTTTGGAAGTATATTGCCAGACCTTTGTTCTGAGACACTTCTGGGTGGACTCGCTTCCAACCTTTCTGTTAGCCGCCAAGCTTGTTAACCATTTGTACCACCCAGGGACTCCATATATGTGCTGGACATGTTATTTACCCAGCCTATGGACCATGCTTGGGTCCTTGCAGTACCTCAGTAGTGCCCCAGGGTTTGTGCCCACAGGATCTAAGAGCCTACCCTTCTTTTTTTGGATGCAGAAATGAAGATCCAAAGACATTAAGTAGCTTCTTCAGTGTCACACATTTAGGGTGACATCTTCTAATTCCAAGGTCAGTGGTCTGTCTGCTCCCCCACTTTGTATCTCCAGGGATGGCTCTCCTGTAGGGCTCAGGAATTCAGCTGTTCTGATATGTTGACTATATCATTGCATGTTGACCAGCTATTCTTATCTTCTGATTTTGCAGTTGAGCAGTCTGAGCCTTAGATGAAGTAGCTTTCTGCAGGTGAAGAGCTTGGGAAGCATTGGGCTGTGACTAGCATTAGGCAGAAGGCTAGTTGTACATAACTTACGTTAACATACTTCTCCAAAGGGAACTTGAACATTGTGTAAGTTTGAGCTTACCAATACCCAAAAAACCAAAACCCATTGCTGTCAAGTCGATTCTGACTCATAGCGATTCTATAGGACAGTGTAGAACTGCCCCATAGGGTTTCCAACACCATAGTCTTTACAGAACCAGAGTGCCACATCTTTCTCCCATGGAGCGGCTGGTGGGTTTGAACCACCAGCCTTTCGATTAGCAGCTGAGCGCTTAACCACTGCGCCACCAGGGCTCCTTAGTTTACTAATAACATACTAACTTCATTCTACATTATTAATTCTGCAAGTTTGAAAGTCATTAGGCTTGATTGGCACTGTGGTAAGTTGGGAAGCAGGGAATACTTGAACCATAATAGGAACACAGAGCTTTTTCCAGGCTGTGTCTCTGGAGAATTTTTAAAGGGTGTTTTTGTTCTCCCGGCCTTAGGATCAAAACTTCACAAAACTATTTGATGTTAATGTAGTGTTAATACAGAAAATGGAAATTCCCCCTGCCAAAGAAACTGCTCTTTATTTCATCCTTTTCCTGAAAACTCCTGATGTCAGTAGCATTGGGTGGCAGGAAG